CGTTAAATGCAGCTTAAAAGCTATAGACATCGCATAGAAGTTAAATGAGATCACACAATTACATAAGTCAGTAAAAATCCTCAGTAAATCAAGGCTATGTATCTAGAAGTGACATGTTGAGAGGGCTTTATTAATGCTGGATCCAGGTAATTTAGAGTGACAGTGATTAACGAATGCGCTTAATAAATGTAATCCACCGTTATGTTTTGTTCGATGTGTTATGAATCGATAAAAATTCCCGATAAAATGTCCGTTGAATTCTTGATAAATGTCTTGAAAAAAGTCCATTGACATGTTTTTCAGTTTCCTGTATGAACCATGCCCATAATACAACCAGCATTTTCAGATATCGAACTGAGCTCAGCCCCACACAGTAAACCCCAACGGTAATGCTATTCCGGGCCGTGAGGAGGTTGACCGCCCAACGCTGGCACACTAGTGTTGGGATAGTGTCTGCGATACGCGGTTAGGCGTCATGGTTTACGGGTTAGGGTTAGTGATTAGGGTTAGGATTAGGCCGTTAGATCATTAGGTTAAGCGTTTTGCATCATGATATCTGTCCCCACACATAATATTCTTGTGGATCACAATGCCATATATATAGCCGCGGCCGATAACATATATATTTTAGTGTGATGGTTAGGTGGCCCCGTGTTGGAGTGAGGGTTACTCGTTAGGTTTAACTTTTGAACGTCATCGTCAGACGTGCTATCACGTGACTCCTCCACGCCCGGATAGCAACACCCTCCATCACATTCACCCTCCCCTACAGCTGATAATACTACTCTGATCCAACAAGTATCCCACAACAGCCTAAAATATTCTCACACTCGCCAACGCACCTTACAGTAAGGCGCGAGTTTGTTGACAGTGACGTCAGGCAATGGGCGGTTTCGCCCGCCATTTGCATGAAAATCCTGCGTTGGTCACTCGTAATGCTCAGAACCTTTCTTCAGGTTGCATGAACATTGTTTTACCAATTTAGTGCGATTTCTCACAATTTCTCAAGGTGCATAGAACATTTTACCAATTTAGTGGTGTCAGTTAGTCATAGATATGTCACAGTAAGTACTAACAGTAGATGTTTCACATACGTTTACCCATTTTGCACAGGCGGTCGATCATTGTGAAAAATTGAAAAACGCTGATTTCTCCGTTTCGATTTCTGCTATAGTAGCCGATGTTTAAATGGATATTTCTCTGTGATTACAACTCGGAATAATTTAATTTGACACTCGTTTTAATGGTAACATATTGCTGTAAAAAAGCGCGTCAGGGATTGTTATTAATTACCGTATTTTATCTGTTATCCTTTTTCTTATTAGCAAACATTTTCAATTCAAACGTGCGACTTGAATTTTAGGCAGTTTTTTCTCACTTTTTTCGGTAAATATAAAGCTTAAAGAAAATTCCTGACGCGCTTTTTTGGTTCATATTGTGCTTAACTTGTGGCGAAAGTTTTGCTTTCTCACTTTTTGTGGTATTTGAGAAATATCCAAAATACCATTTTTACATGGAAAATGGAAATTTCATTGGAATTTTTTTAGCTTGAGCATAGAGATATATCTCATCTATAAATAAAACGTGTGATTGATTCGATTCATTCGTCAATAAACGTTTATTCATCATTAGAGCAATACCCGTGCAAAATGTGGTGAGTATATTGAATTCACCATACGTGGAACAATTAAGGCATTTTTGAACTCGATATCCCGCGAAGCAACACGCGTCCCGCAGAACGCTTCGGGCAAAATATGCAATGGTTTTGGCACAATTCGCTCGAATATTGCAACCTTGGATATTGTAACGAATAAAATGAACCAAATTTGATTCGCCTAGACGCAAAATCTAATAATGTAGACTCGACCGATAAGCATTGCAGATTATTGATGTTTAGGTTGCTAATGTCGAAATTGGGTCCCAAACTCCCACAGTAAATTGCGTCGGCATGTGTTTGATTTGTACATTGATTCCCCTGACTGGCATGCTTACATAGCAGGAGCATACTCGCGAGTGTATGTCATGTATTCCTTGCCGTATACACAAACGTCAGATAGAGCTGGTAGTCTGCTGTCAGTATTAGCCTGCTGTAAAATCTTGCCACGGATTTGCTTCTTCAGATTTGATCTAAAGGCTCCTAACTTTTTTCACGCTATTAACCACCTCCGTTAAAACATTCTTGCGGACCCCCTCCCCAAACGGATATGATATATGATTTGATAGATATATGAAATAAGTCGGCAAAGTATTGCCAGTATTTAAATAGTTAGATTGATCTGATAGTGCTTCACTCAACGTCTCAACGTACAGAGCGACCTACAATTTACAAAGTGATTGAAACGAATCTTGGTTACACCGCAAAATCGTTTTGCAAAGTAAAATGTGCCGTACTATACCCCTCTCTGAATAACCTACCCCACCGTTAGATTAAAATCAATATCGATACATAATCAATCAATATAAGAGTCTGGCGTACGTGTTAGATGTCACACGGAGAGGCAGTCTCGATATTCAACTCGTGCGCATGCGTGTCACCGTGTTGACGTCATAGCAGAGCTGCGGCTCGTGGATGGTAGTGAGTCACGTTGTAAGGTGAATGACTAATAATGTCAGCGGTCAGGTGTAATAGAAGGAATCGCGGCGTCGCGTGTTGAGGATTTGTCATTAATTGATGCCGTGCGGGTTTAATGAAGTGATCTGCTGCTCGTGAACGACCGCGATTCCATCCGACAGAGCTCACTCCTGCGCATGTGCCATTTCATATATAGTTACGCATCACCGTATATGACCACTGCTAATATCTATTATATATATTATGATATATGATATGATAATATATATATATATATAATATATTATATAGTATATATATATTAGATAGATATCCCTTCTGGTGTCCGTGCCTGCTCGTGGGTGGCATTCCTCGTGGACGGTCTTGGTCTGCTCGTCTTCGGCGCGGTGTGTGTGCCGTCGTCGTCTAAGCGACGACTCGTTAGTCGCGCGTCCGAAGACTGCCTATAATTGTGGCCGTCCGAAGAATCCTGGCTGCTTATATCGAAGGCCTTCGGCGCGACCTAGGGATCGCTGGGCAGTGGCGCACCCTCGTCACGTGCCTCAAGTGGCGCTGGGCGTTGTCACCCTTCGCTTAACACCATGTACGGTGACGCAACCCCCTTGGTCGCAGTATAAGACCCTCTTAATTATTATCATGAACCTGGGGTTCATCGCCACGAAAACGAGGGTAAAGCTAAGGAATTTTGTAAACAAGGCTGCTGCAGCCGAGCACGCACAGAGGGGGTACACGCACGTACACGCGGGTACCACCACGTACACGCAGATACACGCACGTACACGCACGTACACGCAGGTACAAACCGCACGTACAGACGGGTACAACGCAGTACCACCAGGATACGGGCAGATACATCACGTACAGCGGTACACGGAGCGTACACCGCCGTACACGCAGAT